AACAGTGACTAAGGCTTACATGATTATGGATTAAGGACCAGTTGATCTTAGACACAAGGCAACACAGATCATTCACTCCATTCTACATTCACCTTGCATTCATGTTCAGGTTAAAATACAAAGCAGCGCTGTCTTGCTGAAGTCTTAGGCCCGGTTCACACGAGCGACTTATCTAGCCGACTCGGTAAGCCCGACTGGGTAGCGGACCACAGGATCAAATGTAGCCGTTCACATGAGCATAGGGCGACGACTAGCTAGCCGCGTTCGAGCTTGGTGTCCCAAAACATAGTCGGGCCCCGCTTCCCAGTCACTCATGGCAGCTACCCAGTCTGTAGCAGTACACATAGCCTTATGGGAGCGTTCACACGAGCTATCGGGTAGTCGCGCTGCAGCTCGCATTCTTCCCTTTGTTCTCACTGTGCACCAGTGATGGATCCGAGTGGATATCGATATTTTCATCTAGTCCGTGGACATGTCGCTCGTGTGAACCGGTGTATCCTGTGATCCACTACCCAGTCGGGCTTACCTAGTCACAGCCTAGTCAGCTAGATAAGTCGCTCGTGTGAACCGGGCCATAAGTGAGCTTGTGAATAAGCCCAAGTTCAAGTTGTCGGACATGTAGATACAAGTTTCATATATTGTCATCAAACTGTCCATTTAACAGCCAAGGTCTTCTTTTCCGGAAGAGTTCAATTGTACCTGATTAAAGGTTAAAAAATGTTTAAACAATTCTCAGACAAATGCTATGTATGTCATTAATTAACCATTCATATAGTGGACTAAGAGCTATTCAAGTTTAAATCAGGCAAAAGAATGGAATGCTAGTTTACTTAGGCATTGTTTGAACCATAGCTTGGTAATAGTGTTTGTCTATCAGGAGGTCGATGGTTTGATTCTGAAGAAAGTCAATAGCTTTTGTGTTGCTGAAGCGGGAACTAGCTGACCTTGTGATCATCTCATCCATTCCACACTCATCTTTCCCTTGAAATTTGCACCCTAGTGCGTAACATGGATCAAATTTAAAATCAATTAAAAAACTAGCAAAGCATGCCCCACTTTTTAAAGTCATTCTTGTTTATTTAAAAATATATTTGATCCGATGAATAACAAATTAAAAAAGGTTTGTAAGGTAATATTTGTGGAACATTACCGGAATCCTCTCAAACTTAACTTCAACTAGGGGAAAAGGAATTAAAATTTACAGAAGGTCTACAAAAATTATATTTTATTATAAAACCATTCATAGCATTTATAAGTGTAGTTTGGT